CAGCTGGTACCAGCCTGTCCTCCAGGAGCTCCTGCTCCCAGATGGAATCCCGCACAGGAGTTTTCATCCGTCTCATCTGAAACGTTGGCGCTGCCAATCCATCAGTCAAACAGTCCTTATGGGATGGCTGTGCAAATGTTTTTCTCCAAAAGAATGGGGAGGATTTAGAAGACTCCTCTGTTAGTAGGTAATTGATTAATAGGCTGCAAAATCTGGGTGTAAATTAAAGCGTGTTTGGATTTGTACATGGATATCAGGGAAACATATTTGCTGCAAATACAATGGAATAGGAAGGCTGATGGAGGATGTTCAGCCTGCCAGGGATAGATGTGTCCCTTACCCACATTAAATGAAAAAAATGTGTCCAAAGAGAGTAAAATGGGAGCCACTCCAAACCGATTAATGTAAATGAGCAAAAAAGAAATCAGGAAAAAAAATATTAAACTTTAAAATTAAATAACTCCAAGGAAGCCCCTTTTAAAGCACAGGAGGAGGAACACTTGTCTAGGAGAAATTAGTGGCAACATTTACATTGAATTTAAAGGAGAGGCTTCACTCCCTGTAACGTGTAAAGCCACGGTGCTGCTGTGCAGAGCACGGTGTGAAATACATGTGCTGAGTTTCACACACAGCATTCAGGGAACATGTTGATAAATGCAGGATGAGGTACAGGCAGACTGATAGACAGACTTGGTTATATTTTAATCTGGTTTACTGTTACCTGCAGGTGTTGCAGTTAAAATGTTCTAAAAAGTTACTATACACCTTTAATTCCAAACAGTTACTGGAAGGACAGCTAGAAACTCTAATAGTAAAGCAAACATGCTCCTCTAAAAGTTTCCTTATTAAAATTAAAAAAAGAAAAAATTAAAAAGGAGGGGGAAAATGTATGTCTGAAGCACAAAGATGACATCAGAAAAGTTCCTCAGTTCACAGATGGCTGCACCTTTCAAAAAAAATTAAAACAGGAACCCTAGATTGATTTAATCACCCATACAAGCGAAAAAACGTAATGAAGATATTTAGTGCCAAATTGGTTTCTTGGGACCTTTTCCATGTAAATAATACAAATCAAACCTTGAAGTTCAGCGCAGATATGATCTGACAAGTAAGCCAGGCTTTTTGTTTCCCTTTGATCCAGCTCCAGAAATATTTTATCCAAGGTAAAGTTGTTTTTAAAGTGTTTTCCATTTCAGTTTTTTAATTTCGGATATTCATCCTATAGGAAACTTGCTTATAGTGCTTCAAACATCAGTCTGGCTGCACAGACT